TCCATGGTTGCCGAACAACGTACAAACCACGCCTGTTTAACATTACCCCCAACATCCCCCAATTCTCTCTGTCGTCCTATCTCTGAGGGAACGGCATGTGCAGACCTCTGGCGTTTTTTGCTCGATCAACTGCTTAGCCTCTACCTACCCCAAGCATCCGCTTGTCCCGGGCCATCTCGCCGGGATGCATGCGTTCCATGGTTGCCGAACAACGTACAAACCACGCCTGTTTAACATTACCCCCAACATCCCCCAATTCTCTCTGTCGTCCTATCTCTGAGGGAACGGCATGTGCAGACCTCTGGCGTTTTTTGCTCGATCAACTGTTTCGCTGTGAACTGAGGCACAAGAACTGAGAGGAACCGACGGAGGTGTCTCTCCACACAAGCTTCTTGGTCCTCAGCCCTATTGGATGATGCTGGCTGGTATCAGCAATAGCAATAGCACCGTTCTACATTCGGGTCGCTAAACCGGCGCGCAAATGCACGCATCGTTTGATGCTTGGTCGGGCGACATAAACTAGGCTAAGCTGCGATGCGAAGAGTCGAAAGCCCTGATATGCTCTTGGTTCAGCTCCGCTTCACACCGCATAAGACGCAGCTCTTGGAGCGCGGTATTCCGAAATCGATGGCCATCTGGCCGTCTCTGCTGTGACACCTTCATGCACTCTTCCGTGCCGGCTGTCCGCCCGGAACCGAATTACATGTCTCTCAGGCTTGGAAAAACCCACATACTTGTGTTCCAGAGTGTTAAACCATTCGCATAGCCAGAAGACAATGGGTTGCGCTTACCGATACAAGCCGTCTAAAAACTCGGGTGTGCTGGTGCCGCAGCACTGGTGCACCTGAGTGGCCCAGGCAGCCGTGAACATGAAGACATTGCACACACACACACAGAGGGACGGCAAGCTGACTTCTCAAAGCAATTGTACACCCAGCGCACACAAGACCTAGCGATTTCGTGCTTCATCGGAGCCTCATGGTGCCAAGCTAGGCTGTCCAGTGGTGTCCAACATGCGCTCGAAGAATCTGCTTTGCAGGTCCACCTTCATGCAGGACTTGCTATCACACTCTTGCTTATCCAACGATGTCCCATCGTCTCTGTGCCTGCCTTTCGCGCTCCTTTGTCGACGATTGAGTGGATCGGGAGCATCACGTATCGTTCATCCACCTTGCCCACGCTGATGCCGGTGTAACCGGCCTTGGGAAACGCACCAGAATAGAAGCGTATAAACAGCACATTCATTGCAATGCATCATAGCGGTCATATGTCACAGTCTAGCATATGGTGGAGGACCGATGAGTCGCGGCCTGCTACTTGGCCTGCCGTCAAGGTGCCATTGCTGCATGCACCGCCATCTGAGCCAAAACTGAACAGTAGATACTGTCGAAGGCATTCGCCGGCACCGCCCGAATCATGTACGTCGGGTCGATGTACCTTCGATGCTTTCACTACCGTGGCTCTGCAAGCGAGCTGCTGCCAGAACAATGCAGAACCACAGCCCATTGCATCTTAGGGGCTTAATGCTGACTGGTATGTCAATGCTCTTCAGGTGTTTGGTAATGGCATCCTTCAAGAAAGGACCTGCGACTTGGACGTATCGGGCACAAATCTTTGGGATGGGGATTGATTGAGAGCGGCAAAATTCTGGGAGCTCGCAAACAGAAGCCAGGGCCTATGTCTGCGAGGACCTTGTTGCCGCCAGCATCTTTCCCACCATCGCTCGTGATAAGCGTGTCCCCGCAACCTCCGCAAATGTATTCAGTCGCGCCGCCCGTGACGGCAATTTGACAGAAACTCGGATACCCATTCTACGGGTCACAAGCACTGAACAGACAAGAAGAAAACAAACAGCTTGGCTCTCTACCTTCTGCCACGACAATGACCGCATACTTCTGACGCCGCATCACCTGCAGAACAATCCGCCGAGGTTCCCAGGCAGAAACGCTCTTCGTCAGCTGGAATCTCACTTTGGGCCAATGTGGACGGAACTGAAAGAGCCTCCGCAACATAGTCCATCACCTTCGGCAGGGAGATGTTCATCTCCGGGATAAGACAGATGTCAACGTTTCGCCTTGCTTCTGCGCACGGCTTGCGAAGCGAACACGTGGGCTGCATCTGGCAGGTGTACTTTCAATTGTCAATAGCAACTCGGTGAGTCGGCGCAGCAATGGTGGCGGTGGAGGCAATCCAGCCACAGTGACGACCTTGGCAGACCAAGGTCGCATTGATTGGCATTTCCCAACAAGGCAAACCCTGCTCTTGCAGATAGCAAAGCTTGGGCAGTCACCCATCAGCTTCACCAGGCCAATGCAGTTGGCATTGGTGGTCGCTTCAATATAGGCAGAATCGATTGCTTTACGAGCCTGCGCAACTGACACTGGCAATCAATGAAAACTCAAAAGGACGTACTGCCTCCGTACAAGCTGTGTCGAAACCAAAAGTGCGGTCCTCGCTTCGCAAGATAGCAATCTCACCCCTGCATGCAGCACTACTGCACTGCGGTCCACAAGGGTGATATCGTTGTCAATCGTCTTCGGGACGCCCACAACGGCACACCTGCAAACAACCAGAGCGAGCAGAAGTACTTCCGATCAACTCAAGGCACGGAGGCATTCTGCAGACAGCAGAGTGCACAATAAAGTCCATCACAACAGCTCTAAGAACAACATCAATCACTCCGGGCTGTGGACTCATGGCCGATCTCTGTCATTGACTTGAAGGACTGCATGGCCTCAATGTCTGCTCCATGACTCCTCTTAGCCCATCTTCCCCCGAAAGAGCTCACACAAGTGCTGGATCTAGGAAGTCGACGCCCTTGTGGGTTCCGTCGCCTGTGCCCAAGCTCCCAGTGAGCTAACGATTTTCAGACAAGGCACCGCACCTATAGCTACCAGCCTCCGAGAACATAGTACTGTCGAATGTTGCGTCTCTGCATTACCTGCACAGATGGCCCTAGGCTCTGCCTGTTCAACAGCATCAGCTGTAAACACACCACACAAAGCGTCGACTTCTTTGGCATTCGCCATAAGCAACGGTCGTCCTTCAAAAATGACCTGGAAGTCTGGGCCGCATCGCCCACCCTTCCAGGTTGTCTTCCGAACTCAAGGAAAACCCAACGCAGATGGGCAGTCACAGCCTCACTCGATCATCTGTAGCAGACACTTGCGAGAAGATGTAGCATGCTGCGCGCGATGCCGTAATTAAGTGGCTAACCTGCTGTGCGAAGGCAGGCCGTGACTACTCAAGTTTGCTGACGCGCTCCAATCGATGCCTTTGGCAAAGGAAGCGCGCGTTTTGCGGAGAAAGCCGGAGCACAGCCTGCCAGATTCCTCGACCTAGAAGATGGCGCCTTATTTAATCCGTCCTGCACTTATTGGCAGGCTGGCCAGGGGCCAGGGCTGTCAGTCTGCCAGATACGGTGTGCTGAAGCACTGTTCGATCGTCGAGCTGTCCAGCACCAAAAAAAGGTCCGCATGGCAGATAGAACTTACACAAGAGCCAGCAAGGACTCTTTCTCGACATGGCTTTAAACGCATGTTAGCATTCCAACATGCCATTGTGCACGCTGGTGCCTTCGCAGCCACAGCATTGTGAAGTGCCGCATCTAAAGATACGCTCACGTCTCCTACGGAGACTTTCGTAGTCAGCTCGAGCCACTGGCCGCTCTCACCATTGGCACCCTTCGGACGGCCGGCCGTGAGCCGCCGCCGTTCCGAGCCACGTCCGGAGAGAGGCTGGAGAGGCTGGTGATCCTGCGCAGAAGAAGAGGGTTCAAGAGGGCTCGTGGACGTACTTCCTGTCCCTGGAGTCCGACACGACCCCTGAGACCCTCCCAACACGTGAAACCCAAGTACTTGAGCGATTGCTCTGCTTAACATGCGGATCGCTCGGGCCTCAAGGACTTGTTCGCATCCTCATTGTTCAGGTTGGCAAAGCCAACAGCCCTGCCATGTGAACCGAAGAACAGATGGCAAGGCAGGGCTTGACAAATCAAAGCCGGTTTGGCTCTTGATCAGCAGGACTAGGAATTAAGAAAACAAACCGCAGCATTCTCCGATTCTCTCAAGACTGTCATAAACTAAAGTCTGCCTCCAGCATCCAAGTTTCAGCAAGTCAATTTCTCATGTATGTCACGCCGGATCCCATACCACAACACTGCAGTGATATGGATGAGGTTTTGTCGCCCTCACTACATGAGCTGTCAGAACGTAGCTGCACCAGTGCCGACTTGGAAAGCCTGCAGCAAAAACTGGCTCAGCACCTCCGAACAACCGAACAACCGAACTTGAGGGAAGAAGGAAAAGTTGTTCAGGCTCCCCTCTGTAAGCTGCATACGCCAATGGGCTGGAAAGCGGGAGGGTAGGCACAGTTCTGCATCTTGTTTTAAAGCTTCCATGCCTTGTTGCCACACGGAAGGAGTCCAGTTTGTACAGTACACAAAATCTTCCGATCATGTGGATCGCGAAAGACATGGGGCCAGTGCCGTAGAGGTCCGCCTGAACTGTTCCTGCAATCTACACTGCCTCTGTTGCTCTGGCGACCGGCAGACTCAAAACTGGCCGTTGAGTTCCTACCGGTGCGCGCCCTGCTCTGGCCTGCAACCACGGCCCCGGACCTGAAGACAGGGGGCCAAACAAGCACCTTGTTGGCTTATCGGTGGGCCTCGCTGTTTCCGACCAAAATTGAAGAGCGCAGTGACCGGCCTCGAAGGCGCGTCACTTGCAGGTGGCTGTCACTGGGTAGATTCCCCCAGTTGACTCTGCCTTCAGCCTGTGGTGAGCCCCGAGCGCGCAAGAGCTCCACTGCAGAGGGCTGATCAGAAATTGTCTTGAAGAGACAGGCTACTGAAGCTGCTACCTTACTAGCGCTGCCTTCAGACCTCTGCAGGAGCTTGGCCAGCGCTAGCCCGCACCCACCCAGGCTAGGAAAAATCTCACAAAATCAAGAAATGTCTATTTCTCTCAGCTCGAGCTCCGAATCGGTGCAATCGCTGAGGCCTTGCTCGACTGTCTCGACTTGCTCGAGCGACGAGAGCTGGAGCCCTCCGGCTCAACTCTTGACAGCTTGGAAGAGCCTCGTGAGCCCTCAGCTGCCAACTGCCCTCCAGTGTCTTCTGCATCCACACGGTGGGCCCAAAGCGTCGCGTTCGCGATCGTAGGTCGCAATGCACTGGACGTGGTGCTTGCAGTTGGTCCCTCCCACGTCTTCGTGAACTGACCCGAGTTTTGCGATTGCTCCGAAGGGCAGCTCGTGCGGCTGCTGATCCGGGATCCGGAGATCAAGGATCGGTCTGACGCCTGCGAATCTGTCGACATCTTGCTGCTTGTACGTGGCCTCGGCAGCTTCCCCGCATCAACTGGCTGGGGGCAATGCTCAGCCGGCGCATGGACTGTTACCGCCGGAACTTCAGCAACGCGCAGGTGTGGCATTGACTTCTGAGGCACCGTGCCTAGCCAGATGCACGCGACGACTCCACACACGAGCAGACCGACAGACACCACGGCTGCAGCGACGACTGCAACGTTTCCCCCTCGGCCTTCCTCAACAGACCCTGATGCCTCCTTGGCTGCTGGGGCTTTGGTGGTGCTTGGTGATGGGACGATGTAGCTGGGCGGGTTTTCCTGCACAGGAATGTAGCGCGATGTCGTTCGCGGCCGCTGGGTAGTGACCGGTCCTACCGGGTTGGAGCTGCCGGAACCGACTCCGCTTGGCGGACTCGGCGGACTCGGCGAACGCCCCTGCCTCTCGCAGGCGCAATTGCAATCTCTCGTGGCCCAGAAGATCCCACCGGCGCAAGAGCCAGCGCAAGACCAAGGATAAAATGCATTCCCCGCAGTTGTGTCCACGTAGCCCGGACCACATTGCGGTACCCCAAAGCGTGGGGTTGGGTCTAGCAAGGCTGCACTCTGCAGCTTTCTCACATCCGGTGCTCCCCGCAGGCTGTGACCGGGTAATGCAGATGCAGAACAGGTGTAGAGAAGCGACCAGATGACGACCAGCATCTCCTTGGTGTGACGCTTTGGATGCTCTGGACCCCTAGCAAGGGAACTGGTGGGCCAAAATTCCAAGCACGACTATCTGGCTGGGGCCTGCGGCAGTTGGAGGAAGCCGAACATGAATCTGTGCAATCACAGAACTACGTTCTACATCTCTACGCACAGGATCATGGGCACGATTATCGTTCCGGAAACCTTAGCACCACGATGACATCCAAAAAACTCGGGAGAACACCCAGTTGCAATCTTCTTGCACATGACTAGTTGGTTTTGCCAGCCTCTTGGCAAACGCACGAATCAGGATTTCGCCAAGAGTGAGATCCGTGATTCGCATATTGTTCTCCTGCCATGAGATCAAGCACGGAAACATCATGCTACGCAGTCAGTGTTCTACTTCAGCAGTTTTCTCTTCGAAGCAGTGTTGATGCTACCGACACGCCTTCGCTATTGGCTGCACGTACACTGTTCGCAGTCCGACCCGAATACGAAGGGAGCTGTCACTGTCGAGTAAAGAAATCCTCAGTCAAGGCTGTCCAGGGAAGTCCACGCCACCAGCACCCACCGTTAACATCCGGATTTACTCACGAAGCTGTCCCGAATGCGTGGCTTTGAAAGGTCCATAGACTACTTACTACTTGCGGTTCAACGCCAACACCGAGAAATGATACAGTCTGCTTTTATCTGCCTTCCAGGCTTTGCTTCAGTTCAGGAATGCCTTGGTGTGGGACAATCAAACCTGGACATATCACAAGCCCACAAGTCCGTCGCAAGTCCTCCACAACCTCAGCGTAGCCGATCAGCAGCAAGCCAAGCGAGCGGAGGTATGCAAAGAAACTTCCTGCGGTCATCTTTCAATCTCAAGCCGTCTTTCGAGCCCGATGTCACCATCTCCCTCGTGCACAATCCACCTGGCCTCCTTCGCTTGCGGCCACGGTCGCAAAGCTCTGTGGCTTCAGCGTCAGGAAGCCTCCGCTTGATCAGCTAAGAGGCGAAATCGAGAAGTTCAAAACTGCCACCCGGGTGCTCTGCAAAAGCCCGGGTTCTGGCTTCAGTGTCAGTCGAGCCGCGAACGGTGCTGTCTGCCACCAGTTGCCCCCGATGGCTCCATCTGGCCCACAGAGCAAGCTCGCACCTCACAGCGCCCTAATGAGCTACTAGCTCAGCTGGCTCAGCAGTCCTAAAGTCCTAAAACGTACCAAGGTAGCTCTACTGCCAAGGTGCAGCCAGTGGCCCTCTCCCGTCAAAGGCTTGTGATCTCGGCACGAAGCAGTTGGCTTCAGACACAAGCCGAAGCATGACACTTGAAGACCCTCTGCTTGGTGCTGGGGATTGAAACCTTTTCTGCTGCTTTTGGCGAACAAGACGAAGCTGTTAAGACGCGTTGTCGCCGTGTCGTGCGGGGCTTCGTCATCTTGAGTGCAATTCGAGGGTCTGTTGTCCAGCAAGACGCTCCAGTACGTTGCAGATCCACTGCCTCAAGGCTTTCAAATAATTCCACATGTGGAGTTTAAGCGGCCACGGTGCCGGCCCAGAGCATCTGTTCAAACTCATGCGGTGCAGCTGTTCAGCCTATTTGGTAGACGTGCTGCAGGCTCCCCGCAAAGCACCAGGCAGGACGAGGCACGGGATACAAAAACTTTGTCTGCTTCGGTGCCATCCACGAAGACGTCAAGCTTGGCATGCACTGCCTGAGCATATCAGGGCAGTTCGGCAACTTTGCTTCGCTTGCGGCTAAGATGATTTCTGACACGGAACCTTCCTCGGCCTCCCATCGTAACCCTACCATATACTGCCTGCAACCTTTGAAGTTTGTCGACGTCCGAAGTCACCAACCAATCAGCTGTCTACCCGTTCTGCCGTAGCGCCAACTCCTCGAAGCAGAAGTGGCAGACCCGCTTCACGATTTGGGAGCCCTCCGTCAAGTCCTGAGCTGCCGGAACAT